GGCATCAGTGCCAATTACTTAACATTGCAGCTGCCCATGGCAGTAATGACTAGTGGAGAATCCAAGGCACTATCCGAAAAAATCTGCGAAGGAAAAGCCTGGAGTAGGAGATGCCCACTGAGGCCACCTGAAAGCCATGACATCCTTGGGGAACTACATACACTTGTTTGCACTGAACACTGTGGAAGCTCAAGAAAGACCTGAAAAGTCCTGAAACTCTTCCTTCTGGCCAACTTTGAAGCTCTGACAAAGCAGAATGTGACAGCTTAGCGTAGCTATACACTGCCAGCTCGAGCATTCAAGATGCTCTTCATTAGACACTGGGTTGCTTATTTGTAAAACACATATGACTGATCATTTGTTGGCTGCTAAGCAGAAATTTCAGTGGTCACACATAACAAAGAATACACACTTGGTAGAATTTGTTCGGGACTGTGACTAAGCAGTAACAACACGAATGTCAGCAGCAGAACCCTGACCAGTAGGGCAAGACACAGAAAATGTCAAGCCGTACATAAAGAAGCAATCTCTGAGGAAGCCAAAACTTTTGGCTTATGTGACAAAGACTTTACAAATCAGCTACTTAAAATGCATCAAAGTAGTTAATGTGAACAATAATACACTCAAGAAAAACATTAAAATGTTGTTTCACCAAATAGAGAAAGAATATCAATAGTTGTAAATTACTGTCAGGAGAAAGTACAAATATTAGAATTAGAAGGAAGATGATGGCTTAAGTGGTTTGATTCCTTCCATCCACATAGGAGATCTAGATTGAGTTCCTAGCACCTGACTTCAGCAAAGCCCAGTGCTGTTTCAAAGCATGTGGGAATGGAACCAGCACAAGCATGATCTTTCTTTTTTTTTTTTCCCCTGTTTCTGTCTCAGCCTTACAAATGCTTTTTAAATAAAGGGAAAATTCCTTTAATGAGTAGTTCAGAATGAAGTTAAGAGGGGAGCATAGAGGCAAGGGAATCGGTGGCAATGTGAATGTATCTTTTCTGGTGAGAATTAGAGGTAAGCAGAAATAAGGCGGTGGCCGTGGGCGGACCAAAGAAATACATTGCACAGGAGAAGAACATGATAAGTAAATGATGGAATAATGGGGTCCAGAACCAATGAAAGATACAAGAATGATTCCAGAGTTTCCAGAGTAAGTGAATAGGAAAATGGTGCTCCTAGCAGATATTAGGAATGTGGAAGAGAAAATGCTGAGGTATTTTGGCATATCCTTTGATCTGTTTATTAATGTCCTATGTGAGAAGTTCTAGTGTACCTTGGCTCTTGTACTAAACAGTGAATCCTTCAGGAAGAGTCACAAAATATTGCAGTGTGGTTCTAAGCCTTGGCGCATATGCTAAACTTGGAGCTACAGACATGGGTATCATCCATGAAAAAGGGCATTAAAGTAAGATGAAATCATGCACAGAGAATTGGATTAGGGAAAGAATAAAAGCTGCAGTTGTGTTTTAGTGAAAAATGGTAAATAAGTATCAATAGGGAATGGGAAGAATAGAGTGTTAAGGAAGCATAAGACTAGATAGTTTACACTCATCTAGCACCTATGACTTTAAAAAATAAGGTTATTTATTTGAAAGGCAGAGAAAGAAAAAAGAGGGATGGAGAAACAAAAATATCTTCCTTTGATTGGTTCATTCCCCAAATGGCTGTAATGGTGAAAGTTGGGCCAGGCCAAAGCCAGAAATTTGGGACTTCATTGAGTCTCCTAAGTGGGTGTCAGAACCCAGGCATGAGCAGGGAGGTGAATTTGAAGGAGCAGGTTCAGGACTTGTGCTGATGTGGGTTGCCACTATCCCAGGTCATCACTTTTTTTGCTGTTCCAGAATGCCAGGTCCATAACTTTGACATGAGATTCTATCCATTACCTCTGCCAAAGCATTTTCATTCCCCCTTGTGCACCTACCATCCTTTATCTGACCTGTGCAGGATTCTGTCTCAACTATCTTCTTGCAATGATGGCATTTTGAAACCAATCTCATTCCAAACACTAGGATTTTCAATTCACAACCTTGCATTCTAGTTTTAGTCATGCTCAACTTTCCCTCTCCCTTTCAATCTATGTCAGTTCTTTGCATTTCCCCTGAATATTTTCCATTAAAATAAGTTGTGATAAACAACACAGGGACCCTTTTCCCATCATTGCCAGTCATGGTGCTCTCCACATGGTGGATATTCAGCAGATGTTTATGTAAATGCAAGCTTGTCAACAAGCAGCCTCTGGTTTTATTTGGCCTCTGTGGTATTGATATAAAGAGTGTTTATGGAAAACTTGAATTAATTGCCTAAATTTAAAACACAAAATTTTTAGATAAAAGTCTGAGTTTTGAATTTTTTGGAAAAATAGAGTGTCTGACAATGCTAGACCCACATTTCCATATGTAACAGTTGGCAGAAACTACACAGCAGCTGGACTCGTTCAGTTCCCCACAGTCCAGACATGTTTTCTACTTAAGGACAAGTGTCAGTTGCTGTTATTAACTAACTTGTTCTATTTTTCTTATAAAAGGACTAAAAGGAAATAGACTTTTCTTACACATACCTCTTTACCCAAGATGGAAAATCCAGTGCTACATGGAGAGAACTCTGTGTGTTTTTAAAAGTGCTTCCATATGAACTTAATGGCATTTTGTTGGTTACTACTTATTAAATGCCAACCTTATGCATGTACTGGTTCTAGATGCTGGGAACAAAAAGTAAGTAGGATAGACAAGATTGACCAGCTCAGAGTGCTTTTGTTCCTCAGTAGACCCTGTGTTTTGCAACTCCTGGTATTTGTGAATGAAGAGAAGATGTTGGTAGTGTTAAAATCTATAGGAGGAAGTTTCATTTCTTTTATAACAAGGAAATGATGGATATACATAAGCCAAGATAAATGGAACCTTATAAATATTGATGATTTAAAAGGAGGAAAAATTCATAAAAGGGAACAATCATGACAGAATGAAGTATGTAACAATAGGGACCGATGACAACTTATTGTGGCAGAAAGGCAGTATCTTGAGGAATCGTAAGTGACCTAATAGATAGGATACTAGCTGACGATGAAAGGGTTTGAAAGTACACCAGTTAGTCTCATGACACTCCTGAGATACTCATTATTATAAGGAGATACTCATTATTATAAGCTCTGCCAAGGTAGTGACAGAGGTGTCTGATGCTGGCACCACAGGCCACAGCTTAACTACCCATCTCACAAAAACTTTTACCCTGAGTTACACTCCAATATGACCACATTGAGTAGGAAAATGCTGTATTCAGCATCTTTTGAAAGAAAAACAAAAGGGTATGTCAGAAATAAAAGTGTACAGCAAAATTTGATATGAGACAGAAGGAGATGCAAATATAAAATCAGGTTTATGTGTGTGCTCTACTTAACCAAGTTAACAGTAAGTAACAACTTTAGGCAAATACAGCTTTGTGTGTAGGTATGTGTTTCATTCATCAGATTTGAGTTTGTCTCTAACACAAAAAGTAAAAACAAAATTTCAGGTGCCAGCACTGTGGCACAGTAAGCTAAGCTCTCTGCTGCAATGCCAGGCCTACCTATGGCCTGGGAAAGTAATGGAAGATGGTCCAAGTCCTTCAGCTCCTGCAACCAGAGACCTGGAAAAAGCTGTTGGCTCCTAGTTTTGGATCAGCCCAGCTCTGGCCATTTTGGGAGTGAAACAAGTAATGGAAAAAATCTCTCTCTCTGCTTCTGTCCTCTCTGTAACTTTCTGCCTTTCAGATGAACATAAATAGTTAAAAAACACCACCAAAACTTTGCTGATTTATTGACAGTGTGTGGGTTTCAGCGGTTGGTTGTGAATTTTAGTATAGCTGAGTGCAATGGGCTATCTTACTTGTATATAGCAACTTCTCACTAAAGTTTGAACATCAGCTTTTATCTGCTAAAATTTTTTTTAAAGGAAGGTTCCTACCCTGAATTGTTTTCCCATACAATATGAATAATATTAAACGTAAGCTTTCTTCATCATTCATATAACACCGTAACTTTGAAAAAAACAATTGAGGTAGAAGGGTATTTGTACTGTCACTTGACTTCTCTCTATCTAGAGATAATGTCAAAATATTTCTTTAGGGATGAAAAGTAAGCTACTAGTTTCTTGCTATGTTTAGTATTTAGTTAAATTGGTACTAGGTGATTGGTGTTAAAACTCAACTTTACATGCTTAATACAAAATTGCATTTTTGCAAAGCATATGTATATGTATTATTTGATATTCTTAGATTCTACATGTTTCCTCCTACCAACAAAATGCATGAGTACTGTATATTTCCTTTTAAAATCTTTACTATTGCTGAATTGCAGTGAATTCTGGCAATTTTTATCTGCTGGAATATATTATTTAATAAAAGTCTGTCGTAGTATAGAATTGTGACCTAACTCCTCACTTTTCCAAACTGTAAGTTTTATAAATATCCAAGCAGAATTTTTTTTTTTTAAGAGAAAGGCGTGAGCATTTGGCCTCACAGTTAGGTGCAGATTAAGAAGCCTGTATCTCTCACTGGAGCACATGGATGTACCACCCGACCCTGATCCCTGGCTTCAGCTCCTGGCTTCAGCTTCCTGCCAGGAAAACTCAGGGGTGGGGAATCAGTAATGGCTCCAGTAACTGAGTCCCTCCCATCCTGTGGGGTCGTGTTTCTAGCTCCTTGTTTCAGCCTTGGCCAAGTCCAGCTGTTCTGGGAACTTGGGGATTGAACCAACAGATGGGAGCTCTCTTTATCTATCCATCTCTCCTTCCCTCTACTTAAGTAATTAATTACTTAAAAATTAAAATGAATGAAAATTAAAATTACATAGGTACTATAGGCACTACTACATCCACATTTCCATTAGTTATAGATTACTCTAAAATGCATAATTACTAAATATTTATTGAGGAAAAAAATATTGACACATAAAAGTTTCTGCCTACACTTTCATTTTTTGCTATCTTCAGTTTCTCACAAGAACTCTGTTTTTCCTCCCACAGTAAGGTATTTCCCACAGGCCTTCCAGAGGAGTTCTCTGTAGCAGCTACATTTCGTGTACGAAGAAGCACCAAAAAGGAGCGATGGTTTCTATGGCAGATTTTAAACCAAGAGAATATGCCACAGGTAAGGAATCATAGAAGTGTCATTAATACCATGAAAAAAAATACAGAAGCAGAAGTAGCATTCAGACATTCTATTGGAGGCATCATCTACAAAGAAGCACAAGAATTATTATAGTAGGGGCCAGCATTGTGGAATAAGGAGTAGAGTGGCTGGCTGTAACACTGACATCCAGTGAAGGTGCAAATTTGAGTTCTAGCTGCTCCACTTTCAATCTAGTTCCCTGCTTTTGTACATGGGAAAGGAGCAAAAAAAGAGCCAAGTGCTGTGCCTTGCACCCACATGTGAGACCCAGAAGAAGCTCCTGGCTTCAGGCTTTGCTCTGTCTTAGCCCTGGCTGTTGTAGCCTTTTGGGGAGTGAACCAGTAGGTCAATGATTCCTTTCTCTCTGTTTCCTTCACTCCTGTTCTTATGCTCCTCTCTCCCTCTTCTTTGTGTTTCCTCCTTTCTGTGTAAATAAAAGGGAATATCATTTTGAGTTTAAATTTTATCAACAAATTGTATCAAATCTGTTAAGAGTTAAGCAAAAATGAATAAAATGAGTTGTCATAGTATGATAATGTTGAGATTACAACATGAATGCCTAGCTTGCAAGATATGGTCAAATGTTTTACTTCTAAATTCTTATTTCTTCTAATTATACTTTAAATGATTTTTCTTCACAACTGCTTTATTGATTACCCCAGCTCAGCGATAAATTCCTTTTTAAAAGATTTGTTTATTTTTACTAGAAAGGAGGATTTACACAGAGAAAGGAATACAGAAAGAAAGATGTTCATCCCCTGGTTCACTCCCCAAATGGCTGGAGCTGATCCAACTCAAAGCCATGTGGGAGTAGGATCCAAAGGCTTGGAGTCATCCTCTGCTGTTTTCCCAGGCCACAACCAGGAAGCTGGATGGGAAGTGGATCAGGCAGGACCTGAACTGGCGCCAGTATGGGATCCCAGCTTGTGCAAGGCAATTTAGCCATTGAGCCATCACCCTGAAACCCCTCAGTAATAAATTTTTAAACTGTTTTTTGAGGGTGGGAGCACTTGAAAGGCAATTACAGAGAGACAGAAAGACAGAAACACAGAGATAGATTTTTCATCTGCTGATTCAGTTCCGAAACAGAGCAATGGCAAGGCTGATCAAACTGAAGCCAGCAGCAAGAAATTCCATCTTGGTTTCCCATAGCTGGCTTGGGCCGAAGCATTTGGGCCATCTTCTAACACTTTCCCAGGCACGCTAGGAAGAAGCTGGTTGAAAATCAAGTAGCTGGCTTGAACCACCAGTCTGATGCAGATTACAGCATCATAGGTGGTGGCTTGACCCACTGTGCCTTAAATTGAATCCCCAGTAATAAATTGCTTTCCTCTTACCATCTCTAATGTTAGCTATTATTTTTTAAGTGATTCATTGCTTTATCTGATAAGCATTTGGAAATGACGAGTTGAGAAATGTTGGGAAACATTTTTCTCATCAATCAAATTTATGGTATACTATATGTTCTATGTGACAAGGAAGAAAATTTAAAAGCAAAATTCTTAATATGAGGGAGCTGATGTCTAAAGAAGATGATCCCTGTGATAAGAATGCAGTGTACAGTGTGATAATTAGCGATAAACTGGGCATTGGTGATTGCCTATGAAACCATAAAGAATAGTTTACCAAATTGGATCATAAAGAGCACAGGAACCCAAGAAAATTTATAGAAGAAATAACATTTGGGTTGTAAAAGAGAGTGCAGGCATTTTGTGGGGTGAGGGGAGAGATAGACCTCAAAATTTCTTAATGAAGCTATATTTTTGCATTTGCTTTCATATTCATATCCATAAAAATATTTTGAATTTTCCCTGGTCTTTTTTAAAAAAAGATTTCTTCTTCTTCTTCTTCTTTTTTTTTTTTTTTGGAAAGGCAGATTTGTAGAAAGGAGTGGAAGGAGGAGGAGGAGGAGGAAGAGAGAGAGAGAGAGGAAGATTTTCCATCTGCTGGTTCACTCCTCAAATGGCTGCAATGGCCTGAGCTGAGCTGAGCTGAGCTGATCTTGGGCTAGGAGCTTCTTCCAGGTTTCTCATGTGAGTGCAGGGTCCCAAGGCTTTAGGCCATCCTCCACTGCTTTTCCAGGCCATAAGCAGGGAACTGGGTGAGAAGTGGAGCAGCTGGGACATGAATCAGTGCCTGTGTGTGATGCTGCCACTTGCAGACTGGGGATGAGCAGTTGAGCCATTATGTCAACCCCATCCCTTGTTTTTTAATCTGTGAATGTAGTCACAATGTGATGTTGAAAAGATGAATTAAAGCTAATGAGTATGTCCTCTGGAAAGTGTAATTTCAGAATACCATGCAAATTTTCATGGTTAAAGAAGTTGATTTCATTTCTAAGATAAGGAAAATTATTATCTTATTCTAGGATTAGTAAACTTAAATTGCTCACACAGAAAATAAATAGTATATATTTAATGTTTAATTATGTAAATACTGTCTTAATATAATTTAAAATTATAAATGATATTTATAAACACAATTATTAAAACTTAAACAACCATAAAATTATATAAAATATTACATATACATACAAAACAGTTTCTCAGATGTTCTTTGAAGGGACATATTATATTCACCAAAATATTAATATAAATTTTTACAGCTTTGTGCTGCCTATTCTTTTATGTTAATAACCATATTAGACCCAGGTGTTATTTAAAATAATTTACTGAATGCATCCATTATACCAACATGAGTTTTAAGCCTTCCTTTGTGTGCTTTAATAATTAGAAACATTGATTTTTAGAACATTCAAAGATAATTTTCAATTTTTCAGATTTCAATTGCAGTTGATGGTGGAAAGAAGGTAGTGGAATTTATGTTCCTGGCTTCTGAGGGAGACGTGTTGAACTACATTTTTAAAAACAGAGAACTACGTCCTTTGTTTGATCGTCAATGGCATAAACTTGGCATCAGTATACAATCCCGGGTCATTTCACTCTATATGGATTGCAATTTAATTGTGAGCCGGCAGACTGATGAAAAGGACATCATGGATTTTCAGGGACGAACAGTTATCGCTGCAAGAGCTTCAGATGGCAAGCCTGTGGATGTAAGTCGTGATGTTGCTTGTAAAATAGTAGCATTCTAAGCTAATGCAAAATAACATAGTAAAACTTCTTTATTTAAGTACAATGACATCAATTCCTTCTCTCACTGTTGTGTTTACTGTCAGATATGTGAAGGGTGGCTCTGTGTTTCAAACAATAGCTTCCATATATTATCTTCCTTCTGTTTTCATCCTTTTTCCACGGCCTGTGAATTTAAAAGAATTAGATCATGCCTTAAAATATATTAAAGGAAAGTTTTAGCAAAAACTGAAAAAAAAAGCAACATAATCAATTTGATCTCAACTCATATGTTTTGGATAGAGAGGACTGGAAAAAGATGAACTTCAAGTTAAATGATTCCAGATTATCAACTGTTTCCACTCAAGAACAATAATCTGTTTATTCATCTTTATAATAGCAATTGCTTTGTATTGTAGACTGCCTCTCATAAGCTTATAATGACTTCCTAGGGTTCTATTGGAAGAAAACACAATCACTAAATGTATCAGTAGGTGACAATGATGAGAAAAAAGCAACCTACCAGCTTAATTTTATGAGGGGTGACATTGTGGCATAGTGGGTAAAGACACATGTGAGCAATGGGTGGTTTCCAAGGTGCTCCACTGCTGCTCCAGCCCCCTGCTTATGGCCTGGGAAAGCAGCAGAGATGGCTAAAGTGATTAGTCACCCACTACCAATTGGCGGGGAGGGGACCCAGACGAAGCTCTTAGCTCCTGAGTTTCACCTGCTCAGTCCTGGCCATTGTGGACCAACCAGCAGATGGAAGATGTAACTAACTGAAGCATCACAGATGTAGTTTTTAGCTATAGGTGGATTTTTTTATAATATTTCCTAACAGTGGATTCCGACTTGATGCCAAACTTAGAGAATAGTGTTAAGATCTGTTTTTTGGCAGCAGAGTTTATAATAGTCTGCTAGAACTAACAAGAACAAAGTGGGCTCTGGATCCAGACGGGCTGAAAGAGCTAAAGAGCACATTGAGTTAGGATGCATTGTAACAAAGGATCCAGTTTGGTGGCTCAGCCTTGAAGGCTTAGCTCTACCTCCTCTTTCTCAATGACTTCTACACAAGGGAAGAACTGACCCAAAACTTAAGGATAAAGAATATCAGGTGTGTCCTTGTTCAAAGTACACAGTATAAAAATTATACTACAACATTATACTGATGTCATCATTTAAGGTGAATTCTGATTCATTTGAGGATAAAGCTTAAGACATGCTATGATGCAGCTTTTAAAGGACATAGTAACGTTAAACAAAAGGCATATCATTTTAAGTGATTTTTGATCCCACTACAAGTTCAAGTGAACTTAATTTTCATCATCATCTTTAAGCACTGTGATCTATAACATTTGTTGTCAGGTGACGATGTTTTATGTTTTATTTATTCAGGCTGCATGTTATGGGAAAACACATTCTAATAATTGGCTTTTATTTTAGATAAGCTTCTCATGAGATTTTGTGAGAAGTGACAAAACCATATGAAGTGACTTTAAAAAAAATCTTCAGGTTCACAAGGATCAATATAGATATATCCCAAATGGTTCTTCTAAAGCATTGTCAGTCTAAATTCTAAATTAAACAATGAATGAAGAGTGGAACTAGGCTGGTTATAGCTTAAAAAGCAATACTCAACTTACTTCTAGTCCTTTGAAAATATATAATCTGTTTCAAGAGAAGTAATGTAATCACCTATGGGGGAATACATAATAAGATTTCAGTATTGGATATTTTGATAACAATCATGATTTTAAATTTTAGTTAAAAACAGTATTATTTGGAGTCCCCATTCATCTAGATATTTAATTTAATACTGTCAATTTTTAACTTTGAAATGGTATTATGTCAATGAATCAAGATTTACAAGCACTTTTCATTGCCTAATTTTCTCTACCCATAGATCTCTGTTTGGAGCTCTATTGCTCAACTATTCCATAAAATGAGTCCTAAATTAAACAAAAACATTAAAATATCTACCAGTTATTTTTTATAAGCTTTCTGTTTCTTTTAGCTAAATTATCAGTTAGTCTTAATGCATTTCTCAAAAACTTATGATACAATTTTGCACTGATTTTTTTTTTGATAGATTGAACTTCACCAACTTAAAATCTACTGTGATGCAAACTTCATAGCTCAAGAATCCTGTTGTGAAATATCAGAAACCAAGGTAAGCTCATTTTCTTGGGATGTGAGCATACAGAATGCCAGTCTTCTTTGATTATATAACTTTCCCAGTTCAAATGTGAACAGTGCTGGATGTCTTCTAACGCTGAATTAGTATTCCATTCCGAAGAAGGAAGCCTCTTTGTGCTCGGTGTCTCATAGGTCCTTTGCACAGTTTTAATTCCAGTATTTTGCTCTGAATTTCAGGCTTGATATTTCCTCACTGGGACTATGCATACCTAAGAGAAGATATATGCCCTTCTCTCTATACTTTGGTGTAACAGTCACATCATCATTTACATCAGCTCTAGATCAGTGATCATCCATCTGCTTTTGCTACCCTCTCATTCAGCTTGGTTGCTTTCTTTGCCTTTTGGTAGGTTTTCATCCTCTTCTTTCACTACTCTGTTATTACCAAGCCTGCTTCCTATTCCCTGTTACTGCTGAAGTTCACTTTCACCTCATGCCTGGGCGTTTATCATGTCTACTGTCTCTCACACATCTAGTTTTTTCGTTTCGCAACATAAGCAATGTAAATCTGAATCGCTGCTTTGTCTGTTCATTAAGCTTTTTCTAAACATCAAACATCTAGCATTTAAAAACACTGTTCCTTAACACACTATGCTAACAAATAGCAGTAAAACTCATTTCTTACCTGGTATCCATCACCTCCTCAAAGCACAGGTGACTTCCTGTTGAAACAAAATGTAAATGTAGCTCGTGAAACTTTTCTACAGAATCTGACCCTATTTTCTTTTACCAGTCTTCTGTACCAACGAACTACTGAATGTGATTTTCTTTCTTTCTGTGTCATTGTAACGATTATGTGTGACATCTTACATAATTTGATATACCTGGACATGCATGTCATTTATTCAAGTGCAATTTAGACTCAGGGAAGTTTTACTTTCATATTCTTTTTTATGACTTGCATTTGTCCGTGACCATGTCTTTGTTTCTTGATTTGTTGACCTATCAACTACTAAAGGCAATGGATAAAATTCATAGGAATGTTAATGAAATGAATTCTAGAAAAAAACAGAAAACCCTGAAGAGTCCAGTTCTAGAATTCTGTGTCTCAATAGGGTGAATATAATTTAACCACACTACAATATATATTGCAAGTAACTAAAAAAAGACTGAATGTGGTAACCATGAAGGCATTATAAAAAATTTTGGTAACACATATGCCAATTATCCTCAGTTGATCATTACCAAGCATTTATGTGAGTCAAAACATTGTTGTTCATCATAAAACATGTATGATATTATGCATAAGTAAAAACACACAGCCAACATTCCAAAATAAATTAAAAATGCAATGAGCCTACTAAAACAACATGCGAGAAGAGTTCTTTTGGATCTTAGGTTTTCCCAAAAATTCTATTGTTGCCATAGAAAAATATGAGATTAGTTTATTAAGCACTATGCTTCAAAACTATTTTGAACCTTTTTAGTGTGTTTCAAGTCATGAAATAAGAAAAGTGATCATGTGGTTCAAAGCTTAACTCTCAAATGTTATACGTTTTACTTATGTAATTGGTTTTTAAAACATATCTCCAACTTGCTTATGGCTCTCATTCTAAGTGAAAGGCAGGCAAATGTCTTTCTATAAATATCTTAAAACATAATTTAGGATGCCAGTATAAAGATGAAATACCTAGATTTCTCAGAGCCACACATTCAAATCTTCAAGATAGTGATTTTAAAAACATTTAAAAATTACACTTTCTAATATAGTAACCCTTCAGAAAGTATCTATTCTGATCAAAATGACATGGTTATTTCTTAACCAATATGCTATCGTGCCGGGCCTGACATTTATTTCTAAAAGTTGTCTTCTAGACCAACATTTGCTTCCAGCATTAAAAACTAGATATTTTCAACCTTAATTTAAAAGAATTATTAAGGAATTGATGAATTATAGTGATTTTGCTACTGAAAATAGTGATATGATCACATATTTAATGAACAGAATGTTTTAGGATGACTATGTGGAATGTTTTCTTATTATTTTTAAGTAAGGGACCTTTTCATTGTTCAAGTTTCTGTTAATATAAAAAAGGGGAATTTTATGCAATGCATAGATACACTACCGAGAAGAAAATGAAACCTCTCTCACCCCCACTACTCCCTCCAAATAATGCTCCTCTCTCTCCATCAGTTTTGCAAAGATGTAATTTTAATAAACTCCATAGTCACAGGCTTACTTCACAACTAACCATGATATTCAAAATTTACAAAGTAGGAAAATCACAGTTTGACTACAGCATGAACAGAGACTAGAAATGAGAATTACATTCCAAAGTGATCATTTCATTCTGATGAATTTGCATATTAACTACTACATATCAAAAAAATATATTTGTCTTGAATCTTATTTTACTAAGCATAATGCTTTGCAGTTGCATACATTTTTTTGCAAAAGAATTTCATTTGTTTTTGTGGCTAACATTCTATAGTGTAAATATACCATATTTTTGTTCATCCAATCATCAATTAATGTACATCTGGGTTGATTCTGTATCTCAGCTGTTGTGTACTGAGCTTCAGTAAGCATGGGGTACAAATAATCCTCTCATGCTAATTTCTTTTCCTTTGACACTATTTCCAGGAGTGAGATGGCTGAGTCATAAGTTAGATATAGTTCAAGATGCCTAACAACTTTTCATACTGTGTGTCAATAATGGTTATACTGGTTTATATTTCCACCAATAAAGTATTAGTCTCTTCCCCACCTCCCCTCGCCCCACATCCATCATTTGTTGATTTTGGGGAGAAGAAGGGGAAGATGACCATTCTGATTGGAATGAGGTGAAACCTCATTGTGGTATTTATTTGCATTTTCCTAATCGATAGTGATTCTTTTGTATTTTTTTTTCTGTCTGTTGGCCATTTGTACTTCATTCTTTGAGAATTACCAGTTCTTCATCTTCACATTCAAATGCTGAAATGAGGAACACATGCTCAAGTTTTGTGTTTCCACATTTAGGCACTGGTACTTGCTGTTTTCCCTCTGATAGCTTTTATATTTTAAACATGCCTCTGCGGCTTAGTGGAGTGTCTATTGCTTCAGGGGATATTCAGAGATATCAGAGATATCAGCAATTCAGAGATATTGCTACATTAGATTGGAGAGATCTTTTAGTGTTCAGGTGTGGTGTGGAAGTCCAAGGTGGCACAGATGTTGGTCATGGTAGCCCTCCTCAGTTATCGGGTGGGAGGATATGATGCGATCCATTGGTGTGATCACTGTTGCCACCTCTTCTCTGTCAAGGCAATCAGTGCTCAGGAAGAGCTCACCATGCCAACATACCCGACTCACACATTCACAAGAAGTGCACAGAGCCCTCTGCAATGACCCTTCTGGGATTTCAGAGGGCTGATGAAATGTCCAAAAATGAATACAAAATAATAATCATAAGATTATTCACAGTGGGATCCAAATGCATGAATTAGAAAATTCATACAGGACATGGCTGAAAAGTTTTACTGTAATACTGAGGTATAGAAGAGAAATTGAACTGAAATTTTAAAAAGGAAGAATTTAATATGCAAAAAAATACAGTGGAAAGTCTCAAGAGACGAAAGAAAATATCTCTAAGGAAGAAGGCAATCTGAAAATATCTATTAGATCAAAAAAGAGGAAAGACAAGAAGAAATTAGCAAACCTGAAAATAGTGTAATAGTGTTCAAGATTTATGGGATATGATCAAATGACTAAACATTGTGTCTTAGGAGTTCCTGAAGATGTGGATTGAAAGACACAATGGATTATAAAGCCCATTCATTGAAACAGTAACTTAAAATTAGCCTAATTTGGAGAAAGATAGACATAGCTAAGTATAGGAAGCACATAAGTGTTTTCAGAAGAGATTTAACCATAAACCTTTATAGCCAAAATTTGCACAGTACAATATAAAGAGAAGATTGTAAAATGTGCCGGGTTACCTTCACAGGATCTCTAATTCTAACAGCTTCTTTGCCATCAAAAACCTTACAGGCTCAGAGAGAATGACATGACATAGTACATAGGCAGCTGTCAATCTAGAATACTGTCCTAAAAATCTCTCACTGAAAGTGAAATGTGATCTTGCAGAAAAATCAGAAATTTGAAGAATTTGTTACCACTCAGGCAGCCTTACAAATATTGATCATCATTATGAAAGAATGTCAAGGCAGAGATTTGACTAGTACAAATATAAAGGAAATTCAAATGACAGGGTAAAGTGGTTATTTATTAATAGTAACCTTGAATGTAAATTATCTCAATTGTTCAATTAAGAGGCACAATGGATTAGCAACTGTGACCTGTCTATTTGCTGCTTGTAAGATACACACCTCACCAACAAAGATACACACAGACTGAAGGTGAAAGAATGGAAAGATAGTCCATTGCTAATAGAAAGTAGAAAAAATAAGAATATCCATACCAATACCAGGTACAACAGACCTTAACACAAAAATTGTTAAAAATGAAGAAGGGCATTATATAATGATCAAGGAATCAATTCAACAGAAGGCATAATTTTAGCAATGTTTATAAACTGAATGCAATGGGTATCTGGTTATGTAAAACAAATTTTAATGGCTTTAAAGGGAGACATAAACTTCAACATAATAATAATGTGGGATTTCAATAACTTTCGTTAATGGGCAGATCAACTAGACAAATAATCAATGAAGAAATAACAGGGCTAATCTGTACTCTCAAACAAGTAGACCTAGTTTGTGTCTACACAACATTTCATTCCACAGCTGAAGAATACATATTCTTTTCATCAATGCATGAAACACCCTGTAAGATAGACCATATGTTAAACCATAAAGCAATTCTCAGCAAATTCAAAACAAATGAAGTTGTAACATGTACCATTTCTGACCACAGTGGAATGAAGCTGGAAATTAACAACTTAAACTCTAAAAAATATACAGGCACAAGGAAATTGAATAGTATATTTTCCTGAATGAATGGTGGGATGAAAATCAAAAGAAAAATCAAAC